TTCTGGCCTGAAAAAATTCTGGCAATTATCAGATGGTAGCAAAAGAAACAGTACCTAGTCCACTTTACATGGGTTTGGAAGCCAAATGAAATGAACTTGGTTAATATAAGCTAATAAAAATCCAGACAGCTGCTAGCTTTGCTGCCATCAGGACATCCAAATGTGTGTGTGTTTGTGTGTGTGTGTGTTAGGAAAATGATGTCAAGATTGCAGGCATGAAGGTAATTGAAGCCACATCTCTTTAATACATATTGTACATGGACCATATATACAGTACAAAAAGGGCTGAAGTTTCAACTATGCAGCTGTCCTACTGTTTAGTGGGCATGGGTTTTTAAAATGCAGATATAACAATCCTAGAACATTGAATGATTTGAGAAGTTAAAATAAAATGAAATGGATCTTGGTTTTTTTAAACAATATATTCTAGTGAGTAGCAAAAAGGTAAGCTATCTGAATTACTTCCTAAAGAAATGAACTGAAGAAATAAAGAAATTTCATTTAAAGACATGGACTAGACCGGCTAAAACTGACAGTTAATGTTCTCTTTAAAAGGATATTTACAGTAAATGTTCAATTTGAGAGCTTTTTTACAGGGGTGTTTTAATAAATTTTTAGGGGGAACCAGGGTGGGTGGGAGGGGGGAGGTTCCCCTTAGGTCAGGACCAGCCATGTCTGGGGGTTGCGGTGTAGAAAGGGTGGGGGGAAGGTTGGGGGGTTGAGGGAGGAGGGAGGAATTAGTACGGTCAGTGGGAGAGGCAGATATGGCGGGAGCAGAGGACCATATCAGGTTGGGGGAGCACGCACACGCTATTTACAGGCTTGTGGGCGCTCCGGTCCTCAGGTCTCCACTCGGTTTCCAGGAGACTTAGACCCTCCGGCCCGGGACCATCGGCTGATGTTATGTAATGCCAGGTCCGTGGTAAATAAGGCCCCCCTCATACAAGATCTTATCTTGGAGGGGGGCGCGGACCTGGCCGGTATTACTGAGACCTGGCTGGGCGTAGAAGGTGGAGTACCACTGGTAGACATCTGCCCGCCGGGTTTTCAGGCATTCCATCAGCCAAGGACCCGGGGTAGGGGCGGGGGGGGTAGCGGTCATTATAAGGGAGAGCCTTTGTCCAAGGGAGACCACTGTGCCTCAGATAGACGGCGTGGAGTCCCTCCTTGTGAAGTGGGGGCAAGGGGTGCAAGTGGGCTTGTTGATTATATACCTGGCTCCCTGCTATGTATCAACAGCCCTGCCTGAGCTGGCTGACGTGATAGCCGGGGTGGCGGTTGGGA